ACAGGGGAACAGTGTTTGTGTGTTTGTGGTTTTTGTGTTGTGTTTTGTTTTAGCTTATACTGCCACTTCACAGTCTATCAGTGGGAGCAGTCAAAACAGGACCTCAAGCAGGAATTCAAGAAAAGGCCACAGAGGAACACTGCTTACTGGTTTTCTCTCAGTGGCTTGTTAGGCCTGCTTTATTATTTGAGCCAGGACCACTCGTCCAGGGGTGGCACTGTCCATAGTGGGCTGGACTTCCCATATCAGTCATGAACCAAGAAAACACCCTCACAGGCTTGCCTATGGGCCAGTTCAATAGAGATATTTTCTCAAACTGAAGTTCCTTTATCCCAGATGACCCTGACTTGTGCCAAGTTGACAAAAATATCTAAGACAGTCTAAGTTGGATCAGTTATCTGCTATAGTTTATAAGTTAGGTTCTATTTAGCAGTGGCAATAGTACCGTGGAATGGATGGAGCCTGGGAAACCCTGGGATGACAGCATCAAACACATATGTAAAATGCTGCTATGTCAGGCTGTATCCCAAACCCCACCTCCACCACCTGCTCTAACAGTCACAACAGTTCTATGTGGTGTCCTGGTATGACTTCTGGGGAATGGCAGCGCAGAGATGCTGTGGAATTTGTGAAAGGCCACATGGTAAGTGGTGGAAGCAAGAACTATAATTAGAATGTTTGTCTCCAGAGCCTGAATCTCAACAATGACACTATTGTGTGGAGCTGCTGGTGACATTCTTTTGTTAGCATTGAGCCTGCCCTTGTGTTAGATGCTGCTATCCATGCTTAACTCACTACTGCATGAGGAAGGGACCCTAAAATAGACATAAAGCACTATAGATGGTCACATTAGAGCAAGATGGTATACCTACAGAACATCATTCATTGACTATGCCCATCAAGTAAAGTAAGGAGGGAACTTTGCCAACTACCAGGGAAATACTGTAAGCAGAAATGCTATGGAATACCTTTGATGGAAAAGAAAATCAGGACACCAGAGAACAAAGATTAATGAGCTGGTTTGATAGCTTCCAAATCTTACTGAAGAGCCATATCACAAAACCATTAGGGAGAGTAGGTACTAGATGGTGGACTTTGAGCCCAAACACCACTTTTGGACTCACTAGGTATACATCTTTCATGGTGTAACTAAACTTCTCTAAAGCTGGGGCTTTATCTTATTACAAGGGATTAAAACTATTTTATTTATACAGTTGTTTTGGAAATACAATGAAAAGTTTAAGTGCTATGAACAGTGCCTAGAACTGAGTAGACAGTAGAAATATTAATTTTCTTTTCTTTTTTGGCATCACTCATTTTTTAATGAAAAGAGACTGATTTCTAGGTGTATTAATATTGGAAAGTCACATACTTTCCAATGTGGAGAAAACAGAATTATAGCCAGACTCTCTGGACCAGTCATGGGCACAAGGGTATTTTTGCCCACAAGTAAGCAAAATTTTTTATCTTTAGATTTACTTCTAAACAAGAAAATCTCATTTGTAAATCCATGTTGTTATAGCAACAGCCCTTCTACAGACCTTGCATCCTTAGGGATGGAACAAAACACAACTCTGATAGCAAAGCAAACATCCATAGTGTTCAACATTAGATAAATTGCTGAGTCTTCAAAAATGACATCAGCCTCTTAGTTTTTTTTTATTCTGGGAAGTTTATTATGATATAAATATTCCCAAACCCCCAATTTTTTTATTAATTACACTTTATTCACTTTGTATCCCTCCATAAGCCCCTCCTTCCTCCCCTCCCGAACCTACCCTCTCTCCCTCTTCTTCAAGCATGCCCCTCCCCAAGTTCACTGATAGGGGAGGTCCTCCTCTCCTTCTTTCTGATCTTAGTCTATCAGATCTCATCAGGAGTGGCTACATTGTAGTTTTCTGCGGCCTGGTAAGGCTGCTCCCCACTCAGGGAGAGGAGCTCAAAGAGCAGGCCAATCAGATTATGTCAGAGGCAGTCCCTCTTCCCATTACTATGTTACCCACTTGGACTGGGAACCTGCCACAGAGGGCCTCTAAAAGGCTCTCCCCTGCAGACTATCAAAGCAGATGCTGAGACTCATGGCCAACTGTTGGGCAGTGTGCATGGAATCTTATATAAGAAGTGGGAAATAGTAAGATCTGGAGAGGACAGGAACTCCACAAGGAGGGCAACAGAACCAGAAATTTGAACACAGGGGTCTTCCCAGAGACTCATACTCCAACCAAGTACCATGCATGGAGATAACCTAGAACCCCTGCACAGATGTAGCCCATGGCAGTTTAGTGCCCAAACCCCCAATTTCTGAACAATTCAAGCGTATGAAACAAGCACTCTTTGCAATTGATAACATGTTTAAAAGTGCTGCATAAAATGATTCACTGTCACCTCATTGATTCCCCTTGCTTTCTCATCTCATATTCTCCCATAGAACATTGATTAACACCTCGTTCTATTTTCTGCAAGATCTTCGTTGTAACTAAATTATTATTTGTGCCATAGAATAATAATTCTAAGAGAATATGTTTTATGCTATGACTGATGGAAAAAATATGCTTTTAACTTGCAGGGCAAGACCAATTTTCTAATACTTGAGTTCTAGTTGCTCAAATGCATTACTATTGTAAAGCACCAATTATGACTAATAGTGGCATTATTCTTACCGTAGTAAGTGCTTGGTGTGGTAAAGCCTTAAAGACTCTGAAGTTTGGCACTCAATTTCGTTAACTACAGGAAATAGTTGATTTTATATAGATTATTACCTTAATGTCACACCCACCCAGTAAGTGGTGTTCAATATATATTTATATCCACTTCTTTGAATCTTGTCAAATGAAGCCTACTCTGCAAGTCATATTTGCTTAGTGTTGAAGATTTTGTCATTTTTAAGCAAATATTTTCATATTTGACAAAAATAAGATTTGAGCTCTTACTTTCCACCCGAGCCCCTAAATCTCTTCCATTTTAGAGCTGAGCATTAGACCAGATATTAACAATCACACAAAAAACAGGGGAATACAGATATTTGCCTCCAGCAGCAGAGGAGGGACTCAGGTCCTCAGCTAAGTCCCACCGGAGAAGTCACAAACTGTCATGCTTTCAGAGTCCAACTATCCAACTCTTCCATTAGCCATAAACAGAAATTCTTCCAAATGGTTGTTTTACCTTTCAACCCTGACATGTCAACTAACAGGCAAGTTTTATAAGCTCTACCCTTTAACTGTCTGAGTTATTGCTCTCTATGCTATGCCTAAGTGCGTGTTTAATACTGCAGTGTAGAAGCTAATTGAGACTTTTACATTTTTAAAAGTTAAATCTAAGAACACCATGAAACAGTTACATCAATAAAGGTCAATTGTAATCATATGAACTTAAAACCTAATGGGGTAAAGGCCACCTCTCACACATAAAATGCTAAAAACTTCATTTCATCACATTCTCACTTGTAAACACTAGATAGAATCTGATTGTGTCCTTTTCCTTACTGAAATATTTCTCTAAACCTTGCATGTTGATAAAGAGCACCAAAGTTCAAAATTTATGTATTGAGTGCCATCTACAAACAGATCGTAATGTGTTCCAACACAAACAGATGGCCTGAGACTCATAGCAGCCACATGGAACCTGACCAATGCAGCATTCCAAAGTTGATGCTGGAAAATGAAGAGCCACTCTGTATTCTATACAGAACCATTTTCAAGACAGAGTTATGACACACTAGAGCTACTTTCTATTACGTATTTCTGAACTTTACCTATGGGTATTAACGAATGATCCATTCTTAAGCCTGAAGCTGTATCTCTTAACTTGTTTTTTGGACACTGTTACTTCACCCAAGTACTAGTGAGCCCCACCATGAGTGACAGACGAAGGCACACAGAGAAAGTATATGTAAAAATCTCAGCTTGTTGGGGAAACACATGTAAACCCTTGTCCTCTGGAGAGGTACATATAACCTGAGATACCTAAAGGCAGCCATAAAGCATCAAAGTGCATCAGTTTTAGGTAGGAAAGATGGAGAAAGAAACAGACTAGCCAGCAGATACAGCCGGAGCAAGCCAAGCACAAAAATACATTCTGTGGTTCAAAAACACCATAAATATCCATGATCCCATCTGGAAGTTTCAAAGGAAGGCCTCACTGTTCACTTTGTTATGACTTTTTTTTTTTTAATCCATAAGGAGTTGTTTTATTGCCTGTCCATTAGCTTTTGACATCAAGATGAGAAAATGTATTCCCCGGGCAGCAGATTAGCATCCGTGACCTTCTCATTAGTAAGTTAATTATATTGATTCTACACACTCAAATCACTAAATTAAAAAGACCTCAGAATACACATATGTTATTTTGGAATGGTGTTTTCTTCACTTGCATTCCAACAAGTCTAAATAACACTCTGAGCGCCAGAAACAAGAGTTTTGTCCAAACACACATCCCTTAGAAACTAACTAAGCAAAACAATGGACTAGAGCTTGTTTCCTCTCATTTCCACCTTACCCTTGCAATAGCAGAAAAATTTTTCCTCCTCACACTGGAGATTGTCAGTGAACCACAGTGATGGGCATGCAGGTATAATTTAACTGCCAACATTCTTAGATGATTCTTGAAGGTCAATTGTACTCACACATTTCAACTCTTGCCTGATGAAATGATTCATTACTACTAAAATTGGTGAAAACCAATACTTTCGCTTTATCCTTCATTTTTCTCTGAATTATTTCTTTGAGTGAATTTGAATTCACTCAAAGTGGTCAAAGACTATAGGATTGCAAAAACATTATGATGATGTGGAGAAGGCTACAAACTACTTTAAGTGATGGAAATGACCCTAAATTTGGATTCTTAGCATGAGAAGAACTGAAAAAAAAAATAGAAGTTTGTATTCATCATCATCTTGAAATCAAGTGTCATGGGACACCACTTTCCCACAGTCCTTTGCTCTCTTGCTCCATGCTTCCCTTTCCTCCAGTGTGTACTTAACACATTTATACTGTCTTACTTACAATTGTGAAGTTCATGACTTTGAGAATCCAGATGGTCATGGCCAAGTTCACCAGTATTAAAATCATGAGGAGCAGGACAAAGAAATACAGGCATCTCTTCCTCCAGCCGTAAATCCCCACTTTGTAAATGTGTGGCCCCTCAGAGCTAGGCATGGCGCTCCGATGGTGTGAGTACTGTTCCTGAGGCATCTGAAATGAAGCAGGTACAGGGAAGCACTCACGTTAAATCTCTGGAAGAGGGAGACAAAAGGCATTGCTGAGTAATACTCCATTGTATAGATATACCACAATTTCTGCATCTACTCTTCAGTTGAGGGGCATCTGGGCTGTTTCCAGCTTCTGGCTATTACAAATAAGGCTGCTACAAACATGGTTGAGCAGATGTCCTTATTGTGTACTTGAGCCTCTTTTGGGTATATGCCTAGGAGTGGTATGGCTGGATCATGAGAAAGCACTATTCCTAGTTGTCTGAGAAAGCGCCAAATTAATTTCCAGAGTGGTTGTACAAGTTTACATTCCCACCAGCAGTAGAGGAGGGTTCCCCTTTCTCCACAACCTCTCCAACATGGAGAGTAGTCTTACCAGGCCATAGAAGATGACAATGCAGCCACTCCTGATGTGATCTGATAGACTAAGTTCAGAAGGAAGGAGAGGAGGACCTCCCCTATCAGTGGACTTGGGGAGGGGCATGCCTGAAGAAGGGGTAGGGAGGGTGGGACCAGGAGGGGAGGAGGGAGTGGCTTATGGGGGGATACAAAGTGAATAAAGTGTAAATAATAATAATAATAATAATAATAAAGGCATGGTTGTACCTTCTCACCTTTCTGACAGCTCTTAAAAGTCTTTGTCCCCTGGACAAAATTGGCTCTCCTGGGTGCTCGCTTCAGTCCCTTTACTTGATGCAACCTTATTTCTTGATGTCCGTAAAGACACCCATGCATATCTTTGAAGGTAAGGAAGTCCTGGAAGCCATTTTCTAAAGGAACATTTAGAATCCCAACTATGTTTTGAAGGAGGTATTCAGAGGGCCACCTAAGTTCTGGGGTGCAATGTGAAATTAGTCTGAGTAAATAAATTAACCCTAACACTGCACATGTGTAGCACAAAAATAACTAATGAGGACATTTGCTTTGAGAGTTAAAAACACAAGTCTCAAATGCAATAATTTTGCCTTCAATGGCTGACACTTGGACCTTTTCTCCCTCTGGAGTTAGAAATAGTCTTGTGGACCCAACCTCAGCTGCCTGCTGAAACTTCACCAAGAACAGTGACTACACCCTTCTCTCCTGTGTGTTAACTTCCACTGTGCTTGGATTGCCGGCCAAGCCCTGCTTCTGCACTATGAGATGATCTCAGTTCTACCGCTCAGCTCCCAATAACTCTCCTATAGATTACAGATGTCTTGTAGAGGATAGGGACAAAACAGGGTCATCACTCACTGGCATTTTTATGCGCGCGCATCAATCAGAAGTAGAAAGAATTGTCGTGGAAGCCTGAAGGAAATGAGACCTTTATTTTCCATTTAATCATTCTGTGAAAGAAGGAAGTGATCACAAAATCTTGGAGTCGTATCTGTAAGGCCCTTTAATTTCTATCTGCTAATTTTCTGAAGGGTCTGAGTGAGGATGAAAGAAGTTAACCTCTGTCCTTGAGTATAAGACTTCTGAAACAGCAAGGAGATGCACAACCTAAGACTCTGGGCATACAAATGTTGCAATTCTTGACCTGTGGCACACTCTGGAGGCAAGTGTAGACAAACCCACGATGTTGTCAGCTCACTTCAGCTGTTTCAATGTGGGTCATCACAACTAAGAGTATCACTACTTATTTAGGTGTGAAATGATAATTTGTTGGAAAGATATGCTCAGTAAACCCAAGAAGGTGGAGATATAAATATTAAAAAAATTTGTACAAAGTTATATGTTAACTGAATACAATGGTTACTTTGATTGATGAATGGTTACATTTCTTTTTTGTTTGTTTTGTTTTAATTTAACTTTAATTTTTATAATTTATTCACTTTACATTCCAATCATAGCCCCTTCTCTTGTTTCCTCCGGTCACACCCTCTCTCCCTCTTCTCCACTATTCTCCACCCCTATTTTTTAGAAAGGGGGAGCCCTCCTCCCCTACCTTCTGACTCCAGCCTATCAAGTCTCATTAGGACTGCTTGCATTCTTTCCGTCCATGGCATGGTAATGGCCTCCACCAGAGGAAAGTGATCAAAGAGCAGGCAACAGAGTCCATGTCAGAGACAGCCTCTGCTCCCCTTACTAAGAAACCCACATGAAGACTGAGCTGCCTGTTGGCTACATCTGAGTAGGTGGCCTAGGTCCTCTTCATGCATGCAACCTTGGTTGGTTCCTGTCTCCTCAGAGTCCTTCTATTACCCCACTCTTTCCTATGACTCCTTACACTCTGCCTAAAGTTTGCCTGTGAATCTTAGCATCTGCTTCGATCCCCTGTTGGGTATAGTCTTTCAGAGGACATTTATGGTAGGCTCCCATAGTTACATTTCTAAAGGTACCTACAGTCTGTTTCATTAAGTAAAAATCACAGAATTTGCACTCAATAAGTAGTAACAGCATTGCTACTCCCATTACCCTATAGGTATATAAGCCTGAATCCTCTTAGTTTGGAATGCCATCACTCATCGTCAACTAAGTATCAAAAATCCAAAAGAAACCTAACAATTACAATTACTGATCTCCAACAATAGAACCTGGGGCTCAGTGAGACCATTGAATAAAAGCTGCCCAGGGGATTCTAAACATTGGGAAAGCATCTGAAAACATAGCTTCCCCTTTAAAACTTGTTTTCATAATATAACTATTTTCAGATAACTATCATGTTTAATATCAAGAAAGCAGAATCCCATGAAACAACTCCAAACCCTTGGGGTCCCAGGAAGCAGTGACTTTTTTGTCCCTTATTGACTGGTAGGGATTTCAAAGCCCTGTCAGATCACAAGGTCAGAATTCTGGTCCGTTGTTGCATGGCTTAATGGCTTTCTCTCAGTGAGAGTGGGCCTAATCTTCCTACCGTACCCCCAACTCTTCAGTTTCCAAGTCTATGGAATGAATCAAGAGCAGAAAAGACTCTCAGGAAGCTCCTGAGAGTGGTGATAGTGGAAGGCCTTACCAGGCAAATGTAAGATAGCACTACAATTTGTATCAGTGACCCTACACAGGTGGGGAACTCACATGGGCAGAGGACGTTATGCTTTCTCATTAACGATCCAAGCATGTCAAATTGCTAAAAACAAATGAGACAATCTCAAATAGTTTTTCTGGTTCCTTCTTAGAAAAACAATTTTTGTCTAACAAATGAAGTTAAAAATCTCAAGTACTTACTGGGACAGGCTTCTTTGAACAACCTGGAAGAGGGCCCAGTAATGGAAGAATGGAAGAACACAGTCAAATATTCCTGTGGAGCTGACAGTTATGGATGTTGTCACTAGAATTCATTAGGCCTTGTCTTTCTCTACTCTGATTTCCCTTCACCTTGGGGCTTTGGAGGACTTACAGGTACCCTGGAGATTTAATTAGGACACTGAACCAACAGTTCATACAGCTGGGACAGTGTGGTGTATGTTTACATGGCTTGCAGCATCCATACAGGTACACCATTGATGGCTCTCCTGTTGTCAGAATGTGTTTTGAGAATGTTTCTTCCAACCCATGGCATCCACTCACTGAACATGGGGACATGACAATGTTGAACCAGCATTTACCCACGGTGGGTCAGATTTACCCACCGTGGACATCACCATAAATATATGGATAGCAAAGAAGGGATATATCAGAAGGAACAGGACATTTTCCCATTATTTAAATCTACAGTTTAGTTTCTTGGTCACCTAGTCAAAACAGAAATTCTCTACTCTCAGGAAAATACTTAGTTCCTCATATATAATTACACTCTGCTTGCTTTTTTTATTTATGTGGGAATCACAGAAAATAGAACTAATTAGAATTCTTGTTTCTATAGGATATAAACAACAGGCGTATTCTTATGTAGAATTGTCATATTTACATATGATAACGATTAATAATTAAAACTTTCTGTCAAAACTGTCATGGGAGACAATTATCTTCATTCTGCCTGTACACAAAATTACAGTTGTAAATAGTTGTAAAATGAAAAGACAACTGAAAGCTGTGTGAACCCAAACTATTGATGTGAGACAGTTGAGTATTAATAATATTATTCTAGCTTTTACAATATCACTATTTTAAAGCTAATGATTTAATTTCCTTTCTTGCTCTAAATACATATTAACATTTGTAACCTAAGTTTTTCCAAATCCTAGGGCCGCCTTCTTCTTCTTCTTCTTCTTCTTCTTCTTCTTCTTCTTCTTCTTCTTCTTCTTCTTCTTCTTCTTCTTCTTCTTCTTCTTCTTC